AAACACACGAACCAATTGCTTATATTTACTTGAATTTATTTTGTAATTAACAAAAACACTCGATAACATTATTATTCTCACCTTATATAGTTAGTTTATTTCTGCATTTTGTTATTGCTATCATTTTTTAGCAAGTTGAAAGGGATGAAAAAAAAAAAATAGTGAAAAATGTTTTTAACTTTCCCTCTTTTATTCATATCTATAGAAGGAAAAACCAATGTATGCTGTTCTTCATTTCTTTATTTTCCCAGTGTTAAAGCAGTAACGCGTGCGACACCTCTGGGCGCCGGGGTTGTACCTGAACATAGATTTCTATTAATGGACTGACTTCTTCTTTACAAACCGAAAACTTCTTCGTACTCTACTCTCTTTTTTCTCTTTGTGATCATATCACTATTATTATTGTTATTTACTTTTTCATTTTATTCACAGATTTGCTAGTAATTTTCAGTTTCCCTATTGTCCACACAACTTTGAACGTTGAACTTCATTCTTGGAACTGAGAAAGAAGCCACAGAAAAATACGATAACAATGCGCGAAGCGATTTGCATTCACATTGGTCAGGCTGGTTGCCAGGTGGGTAACGCCTGCTGGGAGCTGTTCTGTCTTGAACACGGCATCCAACCCGATGGCGCCATGCCGTCAGACAAGACTATTGGTGTCGAAGACGACGCGTTCAACACCTTCTTCTCCGAGACCGGTGCCGGCAAGCACGTACCACGCTGTGTGATGCTCGACCTTGAGCCCACCGTTGTCGACGAGATCCGCACCGGCACCTACCGCCAGCTTTTCCACCCCGAGCAGCTGATCTCTGGCAAGGAGGACGCCGCCAACAACTACGCTCGTGGACACTACACCATCGGGAAGGAGATCGTGGACTTGTGCCTTGACCGCATCCGCAAGCTCGCGGACAACTGCACCGGCCTCCAGGGCTTCATGGTCTTCCACTCCGTCGGTGGCGGCACGGGCTCCGGCCTCGGTGCCCTCCTCCTCGAGCGCCTGTCCGTGGACTACGGCAAGAAGTCCAAGCTCGGCTATACCGTGTACCCGTCGCCGCAGGTGTCCACCGCCGTCGTCGAGCCATACAACTCCGTCCTATCAACGCACTCGCTCCTCGAGCACACCGACGTTGCGACGATGCTCGACAATGAAGCTATTTACGACCTGACGCGACGCAGCCTTGACATCGAACGCCCGACCTACACCAACGTCAACCGCCTCATCGGCCAGGTCGTGTCCTCGCTGACCGCCTCGCTCCGCTTCGATGGCGCCCTCAACGTCGACCTGTCTGAGTTCCAGACCAACTTGGTCCCGTACCCGCGTATTCACTTCGTGGTCACGAGCTACGGCCCCGTCATCTCCCCCGAGAAGGCCTACCACGAGCAGCTGTCCGTTGCTGAGATCACGAACTCCGTCTTCGAGCCCGCTGGCATGCTCACCAAGTGCGACCCCCGTCACGGCAAGTACATGTCCTGCTGTCTCATGTACCGCGGCGACGTTGTGCCCAAGGACGTCAACGCCGCGATCGCAACGATCAAGACGAAGAGGACCATCCAGTTCGTGGACTGGTCCCCTACCGGCTTCAAGTGCGGTATCAACTACCAGCCCCCGACCGTTGTCCCGGGTGGCGACCTCGCCAAGGTGCAGCGTGCGGTGTGCATGATCGCCAACTCTACCGCGATCGCCGAGGTCTTCGCACGTATCGACCACAAGTTTGACCTTATGTACAGCAAGCGTGCGTTTGTTCACTGGTACGTTGGTGAGGGCATGGAGGAGGGCGAGTTCTCTGAGGCCCGCGAGGACCTTGCCGCCCTCGAGAAGGACTATGAGGAGGTTGGCGCCGAGTCTGTCGGTGACGAGGGTGAGGAGGATGTTGAGGAGTACTAAACCACTATGCAGCTGACGACGGGAAACTGAGGATGCCTGTAAGGTAGGGAGAGGGGAAAGGGGGGGAGGAGGGACAACCACAACAAATTCCAGAAGCTACACTTTATAGCATGCCCACCCCCAGAGTTCGCTCCACCGCATTTTCCACCGTAGCGATAGGGAAATTTATATAGCAATTCGTGTTACACGTTAAAAAAGAAAAGAAAAAGAAAGAATACTAATAATATGCGAAAAGAAAAAGGAAGACAAGGTTGTTGTCTATCACTTTATATAGTTAGTTTATTTCTGCATTTTGTTATTGCTATCATTTTTTAGCAAGTTGAAACGATGTGTGTTTAACTCTGTCCATTGGACTCATGATACATATCGGGCTTATTTTTACTTTTATGTTGTTGCGCGTGACATTTGTGTGCCTATTCGTTTCAAATTCAGAAAATGCTCATGCTCGAGTGCAGAAATCAGCTTCCTCCTTGTGTTGTATTTAATCCCAGATACAATTTTATTGTCTCATGCTAGATATCTATTTCTATTAATTTTTTGAAAGTTTTTTTTGTGTTAATAAGAACAGGGTGGGTTAATTTTGACTTCTCATGGTACATATTCTGAAATTTCTTAGAATCTATGAAGCACAGGTTTCCCACTATAGTGAAAATGTAGATGATTCATGTGTCCTATTTATATTTCTGGGGGATACGCCTTCCAGCATTTAGTTTTTCTCGTGCTTTCATATACAAATTTAGCAACATGCTGTAGAGCTTTTATTTGAAAATATATCATTTAAATTCTTTGTATTGAACTTATTAGTAGCACCCCTTTCGACAAGCAGATCATATGCGTTTCGAGCAACCTCATCGAATGCCTGTGAAATTCCCACTCTTGTCTTTGCAGATGTAAATGCGAGAAGCATGTGATGCTGTTTTGCAAATAATTCAGCAGTTAACCGTTGAACAGGCATGTTTTCTTCCGAACAGCACAAATCAATTTTGTTCCCAATAAGCAAGAAAATAATGTCTTCACTTTGGGAGCATTTTTTTGCTTCTTCAAGCCATTTCGTAAGACCATAAAACGAACTAGGCACACTGACGTCGTAGACGAGAGCTATAGCGTGCGCTCCTCGATAATATGAATTCGTCAAGGTTCTGAAACGCTCTTGCCCAGCAGTGTCCCATATTTGCATATTCACATGACGATGCTGCCCAGTTATTTCGTCCAGAATATCCACCTTTTTCACTTTAAAATCTATTCCGATGGTCGTGCCAATACTTTCGTTGAAAATTCCAGTTGTGAATGAATGAAGCAGTGACGATTTTCCAACCCCACTATCACCAATTAGTAGCACCTTAATGAATGCTTCTACTTTTGTATCGAACGCCATATAAAATGCGAAGTGAGCTATTTTCCTAACACTTGATTTGACTAGTATATATATTTATTTATTTTCATAACCAGAAGAAAAATAGAGGTTCATACGTTCAAATAAGTAGAAGATCATCCTTCCAATTTATGATTCGTTAAGACGATACAAGCTGTTTTATTTCATGTAATCCACTACCAAGATCGACTAGGTACTCCAAATACATATAAGGATTTACCGCCATTTTAGATCAGCATAGATATTTCCCATAGGGTGTTATTTGTCGTCTTCAATACCGTACACACCATACCATAAATCCACGTAGCCTTTGTAAATCCAATTAATCATGATACAATACGTAGCCGCACAAAGAGCATTGGCAAGCCAAACGGTGTACATTCCTGTTTTTGAGTACACTGGGGTCTTTAGTCGTGCCAGCATATGAGAACGATGAATTTTATGGTGCGCTAGAACCTCCCTATGAGCCTGAAATAATCCTTGCCCTGAACGAGACATGCACTTTTTGAGAGTATCATCTAATTATAGTTTGAGGGAATTGAGAAAATTCCTTAGTATGAAAAAAGAGAACAATGTAATTTTATCAGCAATTATTGAGTCGAATGAATCATTAGGTTAGTCCGATTGAGGATGAAAGAATCAAATTATTATTTTGGTTTTAAATGTATGACATAAATAAAAAGAAATAATCTACCGTTCGTTTTTTTTAGGATCGTGAACATCCTCTGATTACCAAAAGGACCAGATGAGAGTCAAGTTTCAGTACGATATAAAGATTAATTTCTTTCAACGCTGTTATTAATATTGTTAACATAAAATCATCATAAAGAAGAAAAAGATATAAATAAAGAGCAAATCAAATCAAAGGATTGTTTGTATGTGTATACATTTTTTTTTAAAGTGCAATGATACTATACCTCCCATGTAATTACATTTACAATATCAGGGAAACCAAGGTAGCCCAAAAGTAAACTTTACTGCAACAGTAGTTAATGCAAATGATATGCCAGGTTTGGGAATAGCCACCTCCATATCCGACTGTTTTGATTTCGAAAAAGGGTTCTTTTGATTTTATGTTTAATTCATTCGATAACAATATATTTAACCACATGCATTTTCAATCGTTTAATGCCGTCTTACCTCTCACCATACCCTCAATCACGCTTCTTTTTATACTATTACATGTTTGGCGCCCATGGATGCATACATCAGTCGATTAGGCATGTCATCATTATTGATTCCATACTGATGGTCATTAAGCACCATGAGTGGTAGCGATAGGTTCGTCTGAATGATTGTTGATTTCCCATAATCCCCGATTTTTTCCTAGTAAAGCTGTTTTGGGCAATAATAGCGTGTATTTCATTTACTGATCGTCTGCAAGTGCTCCAGGTAGTGACTTTCTGAAAAAGACATGACAGCGCGTTCCGCTCCACAACGTCAGCTTCATCCCATGGCCGCCTCGTTTTCAGTCTGTCGTGTGTTTGCTCTCAGATTTCGAATGATCTTATTGGTTGCCAGGGATTTGGTGGCGTGATGGATGGTTTTGACAACCTGACCGTAGGTGTTGTTGTCAAGAGAGTTATCAATTTCATATTACATTAGATGATTACGTACAACGATTTTGTATTTCCTATTGATATTATCGTGGCTACAAATTGGACCCTGCTAGGGCGGTTGAGTTTTATCCCGACGGCGCTGGTCTACGCAGTAAATTCCTGTGTACACGGTGAATTCCTCTTGCTCGTATGACGACAGTATCTTACTAGATTCTTCCCAGAGCCTTATTTATGGCGATAAAATTGTATTGGGGTTGACTTTAGTTCTTTTGTGAGGTTGTTGGTATTTTTCACGTTTACCAATGAAGGGATAAAGAGGGATTGGATTTAATAACTTATACACAGCTAAACAACAGAAATGCTGCGTTTATTAGTTTTGTTAAAGCCGGAGTATAGGAAAGGAGCGGAAACACCGAAACAAATACGAAAAGAAAGATAAAAACGGTATGATACTTAAATATTTAAATTCCTCAGCTAAAAAGACCAGCTTTTTTCTTTCTGAGGAGCGAAATAAAAATTTATTGTCAGAAAAAAAGACAGAGTAAACATATAAATCTTAATATATATATATCTATATAGCTTTCCTATACGGTTTTAATAATACCAGAAAAAATAGGAATAAAAAAGAGTAATGCTACGAAGTGAACAAATCTATAGAAGTATAACCGCAAAGGTTCACAATTAAAAATATAAAGCACAGACGCACCTCCCCATAATTCTATTTTGGCAACAACAACACACACGTTTTTCTGTGTAATCATGAGGGAATCTTTCCACATTTCGTGGTGCACTCTATCAGTAGGAGCTGGTTCAATTGGGGAAATCGAAATCACATGAGTAAACGAAACGTTTCTTCAAATTCGCGCACCTGGTCATACCATAACATCCACGCATCGGGATTCTTTGCCGCGTCGGGCTCTTTTAACTCCCAAAAGCGCTCCGAGTAGTCCTCAAATCCCATTGTGAGGTACTGATGTTCGTGGAGTGTGCGGCCGCAGGGCAGCGGGATATCCTGAAGTCCATTAAGTAAGAACCACACAGACGGTGTGAGGGTTTTATTTTTTGAGTACCGTACCTCATACCCCAGGGCGTACCATATCATCTCTGCCATTGTGTGGAATCCTCGACAGCTGCAGCCGTGTGGGCCGTGGGAAAGGCAAGGATGGGCAAAGTCCTCCATCAGGCGTTGATTATTATTGCGTAAGTAGCGAATTCCTTCCTCTTCGGGGGTGACCAGAAGGTTGTTGGTTAGGCGAACCATGCGAGCGGCAAACAACTTCCTCAGCGCCGGATCCGAAATCTGTTCGTCCAGCGCGGTGGTAATGGAATGTTTGTTAAAGTCTTTCGTCAAGCTCTGTAGATGGGCATGCTCCAAACATCTCCTTCCTTCCTCGGCCTCCCACTTCGCCGCCTCTTTCTGCCTTAATATTTCTAAAATACTTTCCTTTTGATGGGCTTTTTCTTCGAAAAAGCCCAAACGAGCGTGTTTTTCGCAAACGCCCAGCACGACGCGTTTTTCCTCCTCGAACTTGACGAGCTCGGAGAGGTCGGTGGCGATACGCTGCGTCCAGGCCTCGGCGGCCGCACGACGGAGGAGGTGCTCGCCATACAACATCTCAATTTTAACCAAAACGGGGGAATCCTCCTCAAGTACGATATCGGTCAACGGCGGGATAGGCGTCTCTTCTTTTTTTTCACCTTCCCTTTCGCTCGCAGTGTCGTTTTCTTGAATTAAATGGCCTACCACATCGCTGACAAAGGTTTTCACTAGCCGCTCGATCTTTTCGCACATCATCTCGTTGTAGATTTGGCGATTCGTATCAGTTTCTCGTGCTTTCAAGAGGATCTTCTGCAGGCGTGGAATAGCCTGAAGGGTGGCGTGCTTAATTTCCACTGCGATGGCGTGAAGCTTCTCGATCGTCGGTCTGCTGGACATCGTGGAATCTTCATTTTGAGGTGAATACCTCATCAACCCCTGCATGAGTGTGTCGATATCACCTTTAAGCTTCTCTACAAGCGTTACTAACTTTTTATATTCAGTCATTTTATTTTGCGTAAATTTTGAGGGTAAATCCTTTTGCAATAAGAAGTCGAGCTTTTTCAAAAGTCAAACACGATCGCGATTCGTGTTTTTATTGCCCCTTTCATTCACTAACTGAAAGCCGTGCGGTCTGACTATATTTTGAGCTCTAGCACACGCGATGGGGAAAAAACAAACGATCAGCTTTTCTCACCCAAGCACATATATGCGACTCTATTGTAATAATTAAGGGAATATGAGGGAAAGTAAAAAAATCTAATGTTAATCAGAAACAGCTATATTTAGCATAAATGCTATTAATGAACACACATATATATGATATACCATATGAGCATTTTTCATAAGAGCTACAAACTGTAAAGACGCAAACTCAGTGGTGAAAATTAATTAAACCATATCTGTCCTTCGTGTAAAAATACACCTTTAAGTATCATATCTTAAGCTGAAGCTGGAGTCGCTCGCACAGGCAATCAATGAAGTAGTCCTCGTTCGTGATCGCCTCGTAGGAGCTTACCGAGATGCAGAATGGGCTCTCCAAAGTGCTTCCAATTAAACTTTCCGCAGTGTACGCATCGCGCAGGTCGACGATGGATCGCTCATCCCCAATGAAAATATTGTCGTCAAAAAAGACGTAGTAGTTCATGTCTTCTTCGCGCTTAGAGAAGGGGACAGGAAAAACTTTTCCCCCATTTCTTTGTTCTGCAACTTGCGCCCAAGCAGGATAGTAGTCGATCAACCCCCCGACGTTGTTAGATTCTGCGTAGAACTGAATTAATTCGTTATTTAGCTGATGAAAACTAGTTTGTCGAACGTCATAACAATTAGGGAGCTTTCGAAGCTCCACTAGAGTGGCTTCGACGTCGGAGTGATTTATTTTTTCCAAATTCAATGAACCGAACGAGGATATCGACCTCGATGGGCCCAAACACAAATACATCTTTTCGTGATTTCGATACATAGATCCCGTTCGTGGTGGGATGCCATTTTCGCGCATCCGTTGTAGAACGACCCCCTCCGGCCTATACTTATGTTCCCCTTTTATAAATCGCTGCCACTCCTCGAGCACCCTCGGCAAATCCTCGCCGAAGGTCCGAAAGATCAACGTAAAAGGCCAATCCTGGGTGGAGAGCAGGTTCACCAGCTTGAAGAAGGCCGGTATGATGTGATGACCGTCACCACCGAGGCATCGTCGTTGCTCCTCCACGAGGTCTGCATATGGCTCGCCGACTGCCCCCGGTGCGGTGAAGCCCCCGGTCGCGGCGCGTCGGTGAGCCGTCACCTCGGCCCAACGCGCGCGCCGCAGGTCGAGCGGCAGCCCCCTCATCCCCACAGGCTCACCGTAGGTCGCGTCAACGTAGGCCGCGTAGGTGATGAGGGCGGGGGGTCCGTTGGGGGGGGTAGGCCCCTTTGTAACGGGGTCCTGTGGGAGGGGGTCCGTTGGGGGGCGGTTCTTTGGGCCGTAACAGGGCCGCCACAGGCCCGCGTCGTCGACGACGCCATAGACGACACCCGCGGCGTTGCTGTTGAGGACGTCTTCGACGGAGCGACCGCCGGCGGGGTCGACCTGGAGGAGGGTCTTATTGAGGTCCATGTGGATCACCAGGCGGCGCCGGGGACAGTGCGCGAGGAAAGCCCTGGACATCCCGTCTCGCGCAGGAAGAGGGTCCGGGGAAGGTGGGTGACACGATGGAATAACACTGATAAAGAAGAGAAAGCGATGGGTGGGTGACAAGAGACAGTATGTAACACAATAGACATCATGGATACAAAAAGCCTAGGCAATACAGAGGGTGATAGTACAATACAGTACTCATAGAGCTGCAAACAGAATTGCAATCACATACTTCATGAAGTGGAACGAATAGAAAAGGAAAAAAGAAGAAGAACAGTGACATCATCAGAACACTTTTTTATCCTTTTATACCTCAATTTGTGAATCAAACGCCTGGTAGACTAAATCACCTTTTAATTCAAGTCAATAAACGTTCAATGCGATATTGGATTCGCAGCAAGTGTATCCCTGTGATGTGGGGGAAAATTTCCGCAAAATACCACAGTACGTGTCCTACAAAGTATCCAACTAAGTTTATCTTAATCCCTGATATCCCATACATTGCCGTACCAATGAAAACGTAAACAATGGGGAGCATTCGCATTGGAATTTCTATAATTTCCACGATGTTAACATTATGCCTCGGGAGCATGCGGCTGACAAGGTAAAGAAGCATATTTCCTAATACGATGCACAGGTATGGCGAGTCGATCACACGGATCCAACGAATAAAAAGAACCATATTACAACCCAAGAAAAGCAGCCAAGTATAGTCCAAAGAACGTTTAATAAAGAAATGCTGCTCAATCACACCACTCATGTAGATAACCCAGTTCAGATGAAGTAAGGTGTTTAATTTCAACTCCCCAAAGTACAGAAAGGAGGTTATAAAGCGCCAGTATTGCTTTTGATCATATACGAGGGTTGGACTATAGACGAGTTGAATGGGATGCAAAATATTAAAGGTAGTTAGGATTATTAGCAAACCAGAGGTGAGCAGCATCATGGTTGTTATGGGGATAGATCGGAAATCTGGTAGTACATCCATATCTTTCTAGTTCGGAAAAAAAGGGGGAAAAATAGACAAGATGGTTTTTTTTTTTTGCTTTATGTGGAGATCCTTTTCCTTGACCTTCGCCCACAATGTTGAGGACATAAAAAGGTATATTTAGGAAAAAGAAAAATAGTTCTTTCATAAGGAATAGAAAAAGATCAATCCATTTTATTCCATATAGTCTTCCAAGAACTAAATTTTTAATATTCTAATAGTTCATGTTTTATCAAAATCTCTTCTTCCACTAGTAATAAATATGTTTAATTTACCTTCTTTCGCTTCAAGGGAAATAATGGCTACAAACTCCGCCGTTATCGACCACGAGTTAGAAAAGTTTAGATTTGAGAGGTGCATTCGTTATAAGTTTTCAACAATTCAGATTGGCAGAATTAGCTTTAGCTAATTGATATATAACCACTGCTCTAAACTAACGTGTGATGTATTTTACTTGAGATTTGTATATGTGATAGATGGGGTAAATCTTTTTATATTTTTTCCCTTCCAATCAGACCTACATGCCTTTTGCTTTCACTTCAGAGCAGAGAACACTAATAGGAGTGTACGACCCTGTTCTAGTAGCTTTTGTGGTTGGTATGAATTAAACTGAGACCATTTATTATTATCATTATTACAATTCCGAGCCTAGAAAACACTCTTGTAGATATTTTCAGATAACACATGTAGAGACAATGATTCCTATTACAAAAAAAAAGGAAGAGAAAAAAAGAAATGATGTCAAACTGAAATTTTGTGGGAAACTAATTTAATGTAAATAATCACATAATCAAGATCTGATCGGTTCATTTTCTCATGATTCTTTTAAAGAAAAACACTTAAAAAAAAAGTGTTATCCCTCAGATTCGTACAGTTAATTTATTTTATTCGTCTTTTGGAAGGGTTACTTTTTAGACGAAACATGCTGATCTTTTATCTTATTTATCCAATTCTTCATTGTCCTCTCTCCCCCCCACCCCCGGCCCTCCGCTAAGTAGATTGCTCAGAGTTCGCCATGGATGAACTCACTTCTGAAGTTGCTCCCCTTTCTCGATTGTGCAAAGAACGCGCCTCGGAGTCTGACGTATTCCACTCTTCATTTTCTCGCTCAGAACCCTCTTCGTCATCCTCCTGTGCATTTTCTATGCTATAACTAGCGCTGCTTTCCTCATTTCCATCCTCGTCATCGTAGACCTCGTAGTTGCTGTAGCTAGAGGATAGATCGCTGGACACCTCGTCCTCGAAATCACTTTCTGATTCTTGTTGTTGAGGCCTCGGGGAGGCAAATCCTGTAAGGGAAGGGTAAGGTCCAGAAGATGTTGAAAACACCCGCACAACGGATTGTTGATCTTCCAATAAAATAGCCGCACAATAGCGATCGGAGGGGTCCAACACGAACGTCTCGAAGGGCGGGTTCGTTTCCTCGGAGAAGATCACCTCAAAAGAGTAGGAATCCACCGCGGAAACAATCGAAGTCGAGCCATACGAATGCGAAGTCGCTTGGCGGAAGCTGTAAATCACCTTCCCGAGCTGATTCATATGAAAACTAGTGGTTTTACGAAACACAGGGACGGTCTGCACCATACGAAACGAACGAAGATCCCAGACCTTTTCGTCAATCAGCACCATCTGATTGGAGGGGTGAAAAGTACTCGCCGAGGATTCAGTGATGCGATCGAATCGGAAGACAGGCTTTCGACTGCACCGCAGATCCCAAAGCACTGCATCGTGCAGAATAAGTGAAGAATAATAATCAAAAACCGCAGGAGTATTTATATTTTCACCCGCCCAGTTACGATCAACGAAGCTTTGCATCTCCTGCTGTGTTTCAAGGTCGTAAAGTCGGCAGCCTTGTTCATGACTGGAAGTCGCAAGAAGAAATTGGTTATCATGGGAGAATCGTATCGCGCAACAGTTCTCAAGCTCTTGCTTGACAGCTGGCAGCGTCTGACGAGCCATTATTTTCACCTTAAACGATTTACTCACGGCGGCTACTAGCAACTCGTTATCGGATACCTCAAGTGATGCTACGCCGTCCTCATCAAAGAGAATAAGCTGCCCGAGGAGTTTATCGCGATTTTCTTCCTCAGGAAAGGTATCAAAGAACGCGAGGGCGCCTTCTGAGGTTCCGATCATGAGGGTATTACCCCCATCACAGAAGCATATGCTTTCCCCCTGGAGTCCTTCATCCCCACCTGTAATATTAAATATAAACGCAGGGCATTGGTAAATAAGGCGGTTGGTGTAGACATTTGCGCGAAGGGACGGCGTGGTGCCTAGCTTTCGGTCAAGTAAACGGTTCACAACGTTTCGTGATTCCTCTGCTGGGTGTGGCAAGGGCACGTAGACATGTTTTTTCGTCAGATCGAATTGAGGGAGGGTTTCAATCGGGTTCGGGCACTTCTCTTGTTGCTGTCGAAGGTAGGTTCGGATGATCCCATCGAGGGTGATGGCGGGGTCTCCGGAGGCGTGTGGGGTGGGTGCGGGGAGTTTCGCCTCAGCCCGAAGCACCCGCGCGGCGGCCGCGCCCCCCTCCTCCATCTCGAGGTGGTTCGCGATCAACGCCAGTAAGGATTCCCGTGCGTAGTCGATCGTGGCGTGGGCGATGATGCGGCTGCGCCGCTCCATCTCGAGCGGGTCGCCGTGATGGAGGCGTGCGCCGTCGCCCCCCCCTCCCCCGTCTCCCCCTGCGGTGCCCGGGAGGAGGGCCTTGACATGTTCCATAAAGCGCCCGACGGGGTCACCCTCCACCCCGAGCAGGCGTCGGGGCCCAAGCCGCGCCGTGGCCTCCCGTTGAACGCTGGCGTAGCCCTGCAGGAGGTCCTGTGCCTCGCGGTGGACGCCGAGGGAGTCCAGTAACAGCCGGGTGTCCCCGTAACGGCGGAGCACCCCCATCAGCTGCACCACCCGCGCCACCACCGGGAAGAGGTGCAGCTTCGCGGCAAAGGTGGCGTCCTTGGAGAGGCGCAGGAGGTCGAACAGCGTGCGCACCCCGTTCGCGGCGCGGAAGTCGCCACAAACGTGGGTGAAGCCCCGCAGCGCGGCCTCGTCGGCGCCGTCGCGGGGCGGGGTCAGGAGGTGGAGCAGAACCTGCAGCGCGGAGACAGTGCAGGGCAAGAGGTGGTACTCCCGCGTGCAGTTCCGATCCTGCGAGGAGACGTGCAGGGCCTTCACGATCAACAGCAGCTCACTAATGCCGGACTCGTTGGCGTAGGGCTCGATCACCAGAGGACGGACAAAAGGGATGACCGTCAACACTCGTAACACCTGAAGAGCCACTGCGAGAGGCTCCCACGCGCTTTGGGCGAGGTAAAACTTAATACACCGCAGCAAGGTGCGGTGCAAGCCTTCGTCTACAACCTTTTTTAGAGTAGGAAGGTGATCCGGTACCAATAAACTCAGAACATTCTCAATCGACACGTCGGGCAACGTTGGCGTCGGAGAGGCAAAAAAGAACAAAATCGAATCAATAATCCCTAAATCTCGAGGAAGGGCTGTTTGTGGAGAAGCTTTAGTAATCATCGAGGAGAGAACACGATGTTTCCGAAAGAGAACTTTGGTTGAAAGCATTAAATGTGCTATAAGATACGTGTTGAGACATTTTAGAACCACAAGTTGGAGTACGGGGAATACGACATCAAAGCGCTCTTCGGACATTTTCAAAAGGTTCTCTATAGTGTCCATTAGAAGGGTCCCACCACCATGGTTGTCAAAAAACTCCAGAGCGCATGGAAAGCTCAGACAATTAAGCAAAAAGGCACCGGCACTCTCCTGGACATCGGTACTTGAATTACTTTTCCACTGATCAATAATAAATGTCATTATGGGGTGGAAGAATTCCCTATAATTTCTCAGAACTTCTTCAAAAACTGATGTTTTTGAAATTTGTGAAAGAACAATGCAGCACCCGTACACTGTGGACATATCTAATGGGCCATTTATAATTCTCAAAATTTGAGAAGGGCCTCCATGAGCCAGGAAAAATAAGGCTAATTTTTTATGCATAAGAAGCGCATTCAAGACCCAACCTATCCTCGCAACAACTTCTCTCTGTTCTCTGTAATTTTGTTTGGCGTTGCGCATCGAAGGACACCAATTTAAAAGTATGTCAGAAGAGTTTATTTCCTTTGTGATACTGTTATTATGATTTATAAGCACCGTTTCATTTTGTTTCAGGGACTCCATGCTGTTTTCAAGCGACCTCTTGGATTCAGCCAGATCCATAGATTGAATGGCATGAACAGCTGACTCTATAGTTTGGAACTGTAACACAGGTAGAACAGTTTCATGTTGTTGACATAATACGCCGAGAACTGCACAGGTTAGAGTAAATTCAGTCAGATAGAGCATGCTGTTGTCAATGTTCATAGTGTACATTTGCAGGTAGTCATCCCAAGGAACAACCTCTAGGAAGGGAGGGGGATACTTATAACGAAACAAACGGCCAGCCTCCTCATGAGACACATCGATGCTCGTAACCCATCTAACAATCACTTCATCATCTACAGTGAGCCCAACAATTTCCCCATAATCACATCCATTACCTTGTTTGCTGTAGCACCATCCAGGTCCTCGACCAACTTTATCAGCTATACAGGGATGCCATGAAGATAGAGATAATAATGTACTATTATCCTGCTCAAACCACTTTGACTTTTTGAGCATAGGTGAATCCCCTCGTTCTCTGTTACGTTTAACATTAGGGAAGCGCGTTGAAAATGGATCAGCTTCAGCAGAAGTACCATTTATAGATGAGGTGACTGGTAGGGGTGAGTCTTGTACCACTTCGTTGTCAGCTAACTTACTTATATGGACAGTTTTAACTGCGAGGTTCGGCAAATGTAAGCCATCAGGCAAAGATGATCGAGGTACTGACGAAGACGCTCTTTGTGAGCCTTTCCTTGAATTTGCTTCACTATGTATGACTACTGCATTATGTTGTTGGTTTACCGAACTATCTTCATGACGATTAGATTCTTCATTCATTTTCCTTTCAGAAAATTGACCAAATAGACGATGAACTAGGTGGCGAAAACGTTGCAGAAGGACACTTAATGTTCCGCATGTCAATGCGTCATTAATCGCGAGCACATCTTGGTCAAACATGCTGAACATTAGCGATAGAGGTACTAATCTGTTGCGGCGACTTGTTTCTTTTATCACAGAACTACAGAGATCATCCACTGATACTGGGTCTAAATAGTGTTCACGAGATCCCTCAACAACAAAAAGAGCGCAAAATGTTGCATTTAACTGAATCTGGGTCATTTTTTGTTGGAATTCCTTTAATATTGCACGGTAAGGGTCATTAAGAACTTCATCACTATCAGTTTGTTGCTCGAATGAGCGGCTTGTGATTTCACCAAGAACATCACAAAACTCATTATTGTGATGAATAGTATGCGCCAATGATTCGAAAGGAATGCGATCTTGTAAATTTAATGAATTTGAATAAGAATCCGAGCATTTCCCGTGCTCATCGTGTAGGATAAACAAAAGTCTCCCCCATAAAAAATGGTATAAGTTTAATGATTTGCTCAAATTATCAGATTCATTCATGAACAGCTCACCACCACTATCGTTTCCATGTTGAAAATTATCCAAGCGTTCTTTCGAAGTTTTCAACATAGATGAAGTTTTTAGCAACCTCTTCATAAGTTTCTTGACCACAGGAATCGATTTGCTTGAGAAAACAGCGTCAATACTTTCATCTTCACTAAGTGGTGATAGAAAAAAGGTATTGCTTTCTCTGCTGCTACTGATGTATCCAAATAATGAATTACTCTCAGTTCTGCTGGAGGATGACTCATCAGAACTCATAATGTTTTCTTTTGTGCTCCAGGGGAAAATAACTATACCTATATATATTAACTAATTCAATTTCAAAATAAGGATACAAAGTTAGCAAGTGTACTGTGTGTTAGATCTCTACTTATTTATCTACAGTAGTTGAATTTCAAGCACCATATTGTTGCTTGTACAGTTTCATATTCTCATTTTATTCGATATCTGAAAAATAATCAAGTTTATGATATATCTATATATATCATGTGCATTATTCATATTGTTATACTCATATTGGTGTATTATAATAAAAATTTGAGAGGTTACTGTCTTTTGTAAACGTAAAAAAGTGATCCCTTACTCCAATCAGATGACGAGTGAAAGGTGTAGGCTGGGTTAAATGAGGCATCTTTTAAAAGATCATCGTTAATCTTTTGCAAGGTAACTATGCACTTAATAGAAGGTACAGAATACGCAAACGATACAAGCTTCTCCATTAGAAACTTATCAAGAATATTTAAGCGAACAAATATTGTATTAACAGCCTCCTTTCTTAGAATATCAGCACAGTTTGAAAAATCATCTTCAAACCATATGGATTCCTTTTCATAAAAAATTTCAGGATAAAGTTCTTTAGCCCGTTTGGAAGCTTCCTTGGCTGTTTGTATAAAAGTTAAATTTGTTTCCATTCCCACAGTCTTTACGCATTTGGTTTCCGCCAGCACCTGAAGGCATATATTACCGAATTCACATCCTATTTCACAGAAAACAATTTTACGTTCTAGGTCTTCCACTGAGTCTGTTCCAGTACAATTCTTTTTTCCACTATTATTCCTAAAAACTGGAAGCACAGCTGATAACCACATATGACGAATTTCATCAATGTTTAATTTTTTGTATTGTTTATAATCCATGGAATTTAGACAGCTTTTCGATTTATTTGAGCCAACTGAGTCATCTTCAATGTAATTCAAGATCAAATTATCATAAATAACTGGTTGAATTTCCTTGAAGTTTGTGGAACCCATTTTTAGAGTTATAGGTACAAAGCTTGAAGGCATTACATGCTTCGAGCGATTTACGTAAGTAATACAGGCAGTTCCAGTGATACCAAAACCAGCACCCATGAGCAATATAGGGAACACCCTAGGTCTAGAAATAACACGAAGCACTACAACCGTCCCTAGAGAGACTCCCACAAACAGCAGAAATGGCGATGCCATCTACTTGTACCTTGGAAGAGGAAAAAACGGAGGAGTAAAAAAAGGTACTTAGTATAACGATGTACGATTTTTTTTAAATTGGATAGAACTCACCCAGGAGCAGATTCTACCGGCTTTTAAAATTTGTTTTATTTTTCATCATTTTTTTTTAATCCAGTGGGCCTCTATTTTAGGGCGGCGCAAATATTAATAAATAAGTTATGCTCTACTTGTAAAAGGTACCGGGGACTCTTTAAGAAATAATATTGATTCATTAGTTTTGGACCTGGGTAGTTTTATTGTTAGGTTGCCCACCCTGGAGTTAAGTGTTTTTGACATTGGCGTCTGTGGGATGGATAAGTCTTTATATACATTAATTAAATTCACGTTTTTGTGGTGTGGGAAGGCATTCAAATTAACGTAGTTATGAATTAATATGTAAAACGTTTGATTTCCCTTTTTCCTTTTTCTTTTCAACGATCAAGTGGTTTAGATATTTTTATATATTTCTGAAGTATATTTTCCGCATTTTGGAGCTGAGTTGCAGCAATAAAAATGGCAATTTTGTCAACTCTAAAAAATAAAGGCACATTTAGCAGTTATTCATTCAAGTTTTTATGCGCATTTTTAATTTTTAAGATTCTGTTATCGTTTCTTTCCGATAAGTGGAAGAAAAAAAATAGGAGACGATATCGTTCGCATGATAATAAAATGAAGAGGGTATCGTGGAGTCAAATACGTTCCTTACTTAAAATTTGTACTCCTAGAATTTTTTCGGTTGAGTCTGGAATTATTTTTGCATTAACTATTCTCTTATTTCTCCGAACAAGACTCACTTTATTGATAGCTCGAACGATTGGTCAAAATGGGCAGCGTCTTGTTGAAAAAAAGATGAAGGAGTTTATGTTTGGAGTTGCAGATTATGCTCTTTTAGCAATTCCTGGGACCATCATCAATGTGTCGGTCTTTCATCTGAAATCAATACTCCAGAGGCGATTCAAAGAAAATTTACATAGTGCTTTGGAAAGCGAATGTTTTCAGGGAAATAACCTGTATAAAATAGCTACACAACGTACTTTGGACAATCTTGATCATAGAATTCACAATGATGCAAGCGTTTTCTGTGAGACATTAGGCGATTTATTTCTTTCAGTTTTACGACCACTAATAGACGCAGGCATATTATCTTTTAACCTTTCTAAGCTCTGTAGCTTTGATGCTTTAGTACTCTTGATATCTTATTACTTTTTAGTTGCCACAGTGACAAATTCGATAACTGTGGATTTTGAAAGCTTGATAGCCCATAGCCAAGAAAATGAAGGTAATTTACGTGCGAAACATAATCAGCTTTATCAGCATGCAGAGGAAATTGCATTCCATAATGGTGAGGAACTAGAATGTGACCATGCAGATAAAATTTTGAAATCAATTATTAAACACGAGATTCGTATCAAGGAAGCAAAATGGTGGACTGGGTTTTTATATCTTATTTTTGCAAAATATGGTGCATCTTGTATGGGTTATATTGTTTCAGGTATGGTTGTGCTTAACTACAAAGACAATCTATCAAAAACAGAACTTACAAGAATTTATTTACAAACTGTGCAGCTTTATATACCACTATCGAAGGCCATTGGACGATTACTTCTTTTGTATAAGAAAGTCGCAGCAATATGCAGTAGTGCTCACCGTGTGGAGGAATTGCGTGAAATGCTACATAAAATTTCATTATCAAATGACATTCGGAATGTGAACAATATTATTCGTGATGATAAAATAAATGAAATTGATTTGAAGGACGTCGACATCGTTTCTCCAAATGGAGCACTTTTAGTTAAAAATTTGAGCCTAAATATTGTTCCTGGTAGACATGTTTTAATTATGGGTTGTAATGGATCAGGAAAATCTGCCATAATACGAGTTATAGGTGAATTATGGTCACTACAAAGTGGCATTATTAAAAGACCTGCGGCGGAAAATATTTTTTTATTACCTCAAAGAGCTTATTTACCACCAGGAACGCTTCGAGCACAAATGGTGTACCCATTTACAGAGGATAAAGCGCATGCAAATAATATAACGGATAGTGAAATAATGCGTTGTACAACTTCTTTAGGACTAACACAAATTGTTCAGAGAGAAGGTGGTCTCAATGCTGTTAAAGATTGGCATAAAGTTCTTTCCGGGGGTGAAAGACAACGAGTTGCACTAGTGCGTGTTCTTATTCATTGTCCAATTTTTGCCTTTTTAGATGAGTGCACGTCTGCGATCCCTCAATCTGATGAAGTCAATCTTTATAGTGAACTTCAAAAAGCAGGTGTGACGCTTATCACCATTTCCCATCACGAAGCCTTAAAGTCTTTACACAATGTTTTGCTCAACTTAGATGGAAGTGGTACTTACACCATTGTCAATTTATCTTGAGTGGATATATACATATATATACTTATATTTTATTTCTCAAAAAATTGCAATGATAGTCTGTAATTAAATTTACTGCGTACCTTTTTAATAATTCCTTTTTATTAACCACTATATCTTTCCATTTTTATTATTAGAAGATCCACATGCTTTTTCAAAGTTGAAAATTTAATTATTATTGAGTTTTTCTCAAATTATGCGTATTATAGAATCCTAGTGTACGTTTCTATTCGAAGAGGTTAATTTCAAATTTATTTTTACGTTTAGCGTAACAAATATACTTTTGAGTATTCTGAGTTGATTTAACCTATTTAAATCACATACTGGCAAACATATGCAACAGCCTTTTTTTGTGTATAGAGAGATATTTATATTACCACTTCATTAGTTTGCCTAATTAATGATTAAACTTGCGTTTATTTGGAAAGAATAGCATATAGTGAAATGTCGAAACGGAAAGGCCAAATTTAATTTTAATAATAATAATAAATCTAAATATGATATGGAAAAATGCATAATATCATAAATTGTACATTGTGGTGCAGCTAATTAAATTTACAATTATACCACATGTTGTTAGCCATGTATGGGAAACTGACAAGGCTAAAAAGCTTAAAGTTAAAAAAATATTACTATTTAGTTTAAAGAAGGTTGAGCTTTATATTTTCACAATAATACAATGATCATTAACATTTCTATTCATCTATTCCTTAGATTTTTTAAAATAGTACATTACAGTTAGGACATTTTTTCATATATTTCTTTTGCTTCTACTAGGAAAGATGTCATTGTTTTACAATTTTAAGTCCATCACGGTTGTTCCAACCTATAAGGACTTTATGGATATTGTGTTGTCCAAAACACAGCGCAAAACTCCAACAGTGGTGCATAAAGGTTACCACATCTCAAGAATTCGTCAATTTTACATGAGAAAAGTGAAATTTACGCAGAAGACTATCAACGAGAAGCTTACTTATATTTTACAGGAGTTTCCGCGTATGGATGGCATCCATCCCTTCTATGGCGACCTCATGCATATTTTATACGATAGAGATCATTACAAAGTTGCCCTTGGCCAAGTTGGAGCTGTACGTCATATGGTGGACAACATAGGGCGCGACTATGTTCGTTTACTCAAATACGGTGATTCTCTTTACCGCTGCAAGCAACTAAAACGAGCGGCTTTAGGTAGGATGGCTACTGCATGCAAAAAATTAAACAGCGCCTTGGTTTATCTTGAGAAAGTTCGCCAGCACATGTCTCGCTTGCCCTCTATAGACCCTAACGCACGAACTCTTTTGATTACAGGGTTCCCGAACGTGGGCAAGTCTAGTTTTATGAACAAAGTGACACGAGCCAATGTAGAAGTTCAACCATATGCATTCACCACCAAGTCGCTTTTTGTTGGCCACACTGACTACAATTATACAACCTGGCAAGTCATCGACACGCCCGGCATTCTGGACCACTCTCTCGAGGAGCGCAACGTCATTGAGATGCAAGCCATCACCGCCCTTGCCCATCTCCGTGCCTGTATTCTATTCTTCATGGACCTCAGCGGGCAGTGTGGGTATTCCATCGAGCAGCAGGTCTCCCTTTTCCGCTCCATTGGCCCCCTCTTCGTCGGGAAACCCGTTGTGGTGGTATTGAACAAGTCCGACGTCTGTACGATTGACGATGTGGCGGCTTCGGAACAAGCCCTGATTCTCTCTGCCGTTGAGGCTTCCCAGGCCCAGTGGCTCACCACGAGTACTCTCACAGATGCAGGGGTGGGGAAGCTCAAGCAGATGGCCTGCGACACCCTCCTCGCCCACCGCTCCGAGCAGAAGGAGGGCTCCGGGCGGTACCAGGCAATCCAAAATCGCCTCTACTGCGCCGTCCCCACCCCGCGGGACGCGGTCGAGCGGGGCTCTCACATCCCCGCGAGTGTGCAGGCGGAGCGCGCGGACGGCGCCCCGCCCTTGGTCCGGCGAAAGACTGAGCGGGATTACGAATGGGAAAACGGGGGGCCCGGGTGCTATCAGGCGAATGAGCGACGGACCTGGGATTTGGAGGACCCGGAGTGGGTGGAGGATATCATCCCGGATATTATGGATGGGCGGAATATTTATGATAATATCGATCCCGACATCCACGACCGCCTCCTTGAGTTGGAGGCGGAGGAGGAGGCCCGGCTGGAGCAGCTGGAGCTGGAGGAATCGAACAGGAAACCCCAATACGAGCTCGATGACAACACCATCGAGGCGGTGAAGTTCATCAAGGACAAAGTGAAGGTGCTGAAGATGGAGCGGGCAATGAAGAACCCGAGCATTCGCCGTACCCGACAGCAGTCCATTGCTGTCAAACGATTTAATAGCCGGACGGGCAGCCAAGACGCGCGAGGGGGAGATTCGGAAGGCGTGGGCGCGGCGTCTCCTTTATCCTCTCGAAAACGTGGACGCTCGATGTCAGTGGCGCAAGAGGCCTTAATGCGCGATCGCTCAGGATCTACTCATATTACGACAAAAACAACGCGCAGCCTTAGCGGACGCTCTGGGCGAACCGATCGAAGCCTCAGCACCACCCGTGGGGAGGGATTCAAGGATGTGAACGAGAAACTACGCGCGGTGAAGATTAGCAAAGTAAAGGCTCGCCCCCTTGCAAGACAGGCGCGTAAAGGCGAGGCTGATCATCACGTTCCGAACCTCCGCCCGAAACATCTTTTTACTGGAAAGGTTAAGAGTAATGGTGGTCGGGATCGCCGCTAAGCTGCACTTGGCTTTTCATTATCTTTTTTATTTCCGAGATGATCCGTTTTCATTTTTAGTTAAATTAGAAAAATAAAATTATAATAACAATTAAAAGTGTGTGTGTTATCTGGGCCTCGAGTAATTGTAATGCTTTGGTAAAGTTTATCGTCGGGATGGGGAAGAGGGGGAGGAAAAAAAGTATCTGCAAAAGTATTTTTTTCCCTCTTGGTATGATTTCATGAATTCATATTCTTGAGCAAGGCAAATTAAACTTCATCGCCGGAATTCCTCTATTTTTTGAAACGAAGTAGTGCATAGCATGTAGCGATGTGCCTCTTCATGCCGTAAAAATTTTCCCCCTTTTTGGCGTATTCAATTGAACAAGCATATATTGAGTAGATGAGAGTAATTGTACTAAAAAGGAATGATAATTAGTTAAAGCTACTGAGTAAATTTTGTTGAAATTTAAATTAATGCGTAATGCATCCGTGGCTTATATCTGCTTAAAGATACTGGACGTTTAAATACTCAAAAAAAAAATTAGTTCAATTATGTATAGATTTTTATTTGCACTTAAAATATTTAACGACACCCAAAATTTACTTATTTCCTTTATTTCGCTTGGACTATACTGCAGTATTGGTGTTATTAGGTGTTGTTTATCACTCTAGATAATGTCAGTTTTGAATGATGGACGGTTTGTTTTCACGGACAAAAAGGGAAATATCTACCTCGAATCAAAAACGGCTAATGATTGTTTTAATCTTCTTTACGGTAGTAGAACTCTCGCTCACGCATTCAATGAGGAAATTAGTCTGGTTGCGCTTGTATGCCCCCTCATCGACGCCGCTCTCGAAAGTTCACCCACTAACGATGATCCTTCACGATCGGTTCTGAAGGTTTACCGATTTGACGACGATAATTTGACTGAGCTGCTAGATGAAGTGGAAACCCCTTTGGCGTTGAGTGTACTTTGGGTCAACCCTGGATACTTAGTCGTCAGCAACCCCGATAACGTAACCTCTGTGGTAAAGTTTTCGAAGGATAAACTAAAGGTAGTGGTGCGGGATAAATGTCTTTACCCATTTGTTTCCCACAACCTCCTAGGGCTGCTGCCGGCGGATTCATCGCTTGCTTATCTCTGGGATGTCGATCGAGATAAAAAAGTGGATACCATCACATTACAAAATACACGGAAGCGAGGAAAGAAAAAGACCATACGTGGCTCGTGCTGCTCTGGAAACTTTGCCGTTCTTGCGTATGAGGACGGTACGGCGAGTGTTCTCTACATTCTTGGCAATTCTGCCCGTCTGCTTTCACCCTCACCATTAATTTCGTTTTCGCATTCTATCCCAATGAAAAATTCGCAAAGCGAATCCGAGGCCTCGGCCAAAAACCTGTGCATTCATCCACTTTGCACCGCGCTCTCATCCTCCACCATCGTTGTGGGTGTGTGTGGAGGGACGGAAATCTTTAAGCTTAATTACAAGAGTGGGAATCTTAAGGTGGAGAGTCATAATAAGCTTGATCAGGGGGAGGAGCTTGCGGCCATCAGTAAAAAGCGATGTCTGGTGCGAAAAATGGACAAGAACAACGAGAAAACAATTACGTTTACTACATATCCATTGTCTACCATCGGATCTCCCAAAGTTGAGGTTGACCAAGTGGGGTCTGTGGATACAGACCTGAACGAATCGACCAAAAAGAAAAGGAGGCGCCGAAGTAAAAGAGAAAAATCAATTTTGGAGGTTCAAACACCTGATGATCTGAATAAGAATATCGCTGGCGCGAACTATTTGGTTTACGGTACCGGAGCCACCATAAGTATGCTCTTCGTCGGCGTCCTTATTACTTTTTATATGAGGAGGCGCTAGAATTTTATTCCTTTTCTCTGATAATATCATCATTCAAGAGTCATTTTTTCAAACGGAAGTTTATTGATGGTATATTATATATATAATCCAGGATAGCCTTGCGATGCTTATGTAAGCTTCTACAATAGGGGTTTTGATTACTTGAATTTCTGAGGATATGGGTTTACTTCAAGGACTTCTGTTCTACACTATATCAATTTATTGAGCCGAAGTAATTGCAAGGTCAGTAATTGAAGGTAGAGAGACCAAATGGCCATCCTTCTGCTATGGGGTTAAAAGACCCATTATTTGTGCTAATGTTTTTCGTCTTTGTATACCTTATTCTGCATCTTTTTTATCGTCAAAAGTTTCTTAATGAAGGATTGGTAGGTGCTATTGGTGTTAAATCCTAGTGAAGTCGTTAAAAGTGTTTAAACAGATGTGTAGGGTAGAGTGCAAGCTTTCTGAAAATCTCAGTAAGTCCGTATAGGGACTTGCAATACGTCTGTACAAAGGAGGAAGTTCAAGCAGTGTCCTTTCCTGTATTGTGTTTAGATCGATAATGGTTTCAAAAAACCCTTTTATTTGGAGCAATTGTTTAGAGTTCAAATTATATCTCTCTATATACCTAATGAATAGATGTGTGCGCTTTTTTTTCAATAGGTCCATTTTTTCTCATTCCCTCTTTATTTTGTTTTACTTTCCCCTTTACCATCAACGACAGGACTTCACACGTTGTCCAGAGGGAATCCTCATTATTCTGTGTCTCCGAGACATTCAATATATAAATATATATATATATATATATAGATAGATAGATATTTTCTTATTTTGTTAAATCGTGTTAGGTCTGTGTTTTTCTGAGGATGTCCAGCCAGGAGTCTCTCAAAAGCGCCATGCGTGAGGCCTTAGAGGCAGACGGGACAATAAGCCAAATGAAAGCAGAGCTTCGCGCGGCTGTCTTTCGGCGAATTTCCGCCAATCCCACCCTCGAGGGTGGGGTTAACGAAGGCATCTCCCGGCCCCCGGATCCGCCGGAGAATTTAATCCTTCACGAACTCATCAAAGAATACCTCGCGTTTAACGGCCTCGAGCACACCCTCAGCGTTTTTCAATTGGAGGCCCAGGTGCCGGATAGCCAGGTCCCGCGGAAGGTTTTGGCGGTGGAGCTGAACTTGGGAAGCGCGCCGACCACAATCCCACTTTTGTATTCCATCCTTCACGAATTGCGTTTATCGCGCGATATGACGCAATAGGCTTTTATTATTATTACTTTTAGTTTGCCACTCCTCCTTTTTTTGCTGTGTGTGGGGGGGGAGGGGTTTGGTTGTTAGCTATAGATGTTTTCAATCAACGCATTAGGGAGGCTTCGGGCTGAATTCATTTAAAGTCAGTCCTAATTGCGTAGGTATTGTCAGAAGGGAGGGATAAGTCTTGTATTTCCTGTACGAAAAGGACGTATGTGTAGGGGGAGGGGGTAGAGTTTAGCCACACATTATGTGAGCTGAGAGATGGCCTTTATTAACTCATAGCAAATAGCATGAGGGACTTATTACCATCTCTATATATCTGTATTCAGATGGAACGCTCGATTTGTCGATTCGCCTTTCAATTGTACGATTTGCTGCTCCACAGATAGTTATTTCCAAAATTGGACTGATCTTTAAACGTATACACTGTCGATCGATATCCGGATTTATTGAATGTCCATCTTTTCTTTCCATATCTTTGTGCACATAAACTGGATTACTGCATGATAGAAGGTTGGTAATTCTATGTCTTGGCTTGTCTTTCATATAGTTGAGCCGTTGTCAACTTTTTTTCGTACACAAAAGGAAGGAAGGGAAGTCCTTCGCAGTTTAGTGGGTCTTTAAACGAGGTTTATGATAAAGATTCTCTGAATTAACTTCGACCTGAGGGGGAAAATCAAGGCTATCTAAATCTGCTTGATTGATACAACTTGGTTACGTGGTCTTGAATTTCAGTTTCTATGCTTTCTTAAGTTTTCGTTTAGATTCCCAAGAAGAAGACATAGTATTAGATCTCAAGAGGGACCTCTGGAAGCAAAAACTTTAAGTAGGGGAATCAAATTTTAATTATGTTGAAAAATGACCAGATTTTTGATGTCTTGCTTAACCTAAAATACACATCAAAGCAGCTCACGAAACATTCTAATAAAGCGGAAAATGCCAGTGAAAAGGAAATGAACAACATCAAAAAGGCGATTGAAAAGGGTAATACCGAAGCCGCCCGTATCTATGCTGTGAATTCTATTCGAAAACGCAATGAAAGCCTGGACTACCTTCGTCTTGCTTCCCGAATAGACGCAACGGCGTCACGCATCCAGTCAGCGATAAAAATAAATGAAACTGTAAAGTTAATGAAGAACACGGTGAAGGGTATGGATATAATTATGGAGTCACTGGACCCTGTAAAGATCACAAGGCTCATGGATAAGTTCGAAAAGCAGGCAGGAATCCTAGAGGTGAACACAAGTACCATGAATGCCGCGTTTGAGAGCACTTCCGAGGGCGCCATCCCGGTGGATCAGGTGGATACTTTATTAGAGCAGATCGCGACGGAAAATAATATTGATATTAGCACGAAGATGTCGAATGGACCGTTGAACTCTATACTACATGAACACATATCTGCTTCTCAAGAGGCTGAAGACGATATTGAGAGACGCTTGAAAGCTTTACAATCGTTATAAGCATGAGATGTCCTTGTTCTCACCAAGAGGCTGAAAGTGTTATTTTTAGAGGAGTAAGATTTTTGCCCTTATCTTCCTGTATTCCGGACATATCATAACGTGACCCCTTAGGAGAAGTTAATAGGTTTTTATGCAGTTGGTCCTTTTTTAGATATATTATTATTATTGCAGTAGTGTAGTACCTTTTATTCAAAAGTTTTTCATTTTTGTTAATAATATCTTAGTCCTATTACTTGCTGAACGTATGTCTTACCTTTTAACTGACATTCTGATTATCATGTATCCTCTTTTATTTCATCCATATATTTGGGCAATTCGTTTCCATCCCAAAACTCAAAAGCGTCTTCTCGTATCTTCCTTATATAAATTTTTTTTTAACCCTTCCCTCCACTCCCCCCAAAAAAGTAGTCATTTCCCGAATAGCATTCCTAACATGAATAGAGGAAACAAAAGACAGGTGCGTGAGACCAACCCCGATTTGGAGCCCCGCCGACGGGTGGAAGGGGATGGAAAAGGGGACGTCTCGGCCCAGGAGCTCGCAATGTCCGACAGTGAAGGGAGCTACACCACTGAGAGCACCATCGATCCCCACGAGGTCGAACTCCCCGAGGAGGAGGAGGAGGAAGAGGAGGAGGAGGACGACGTCGACTATGCGGAGTTCCGAAACGACTCGGAGGTGGCCCTGCGCCAGGCCTTT